GTGTGAGTTGAGTTCACCCCGGTTGTGTGAGTTGAGTTCACCCCGTGTGTGTGAGTTGAGTTCACCCGTGTGTGTGAGTTGAGTTCACCCCGTGTGTGTGAGTTGAGTTCACCCCGGTTGTGTGATTTGAGTTCACCCCGTGTGTGTGAGTTGAGTTCACCCGTGTGTGTGAGTTGAGTTCACCCCGTGTGTGTGAGTTGAGTTCACCCCGTGTGTGTGAGTTGAGTTCACCCGTGTGTGTGAGTTGAGTTCACCCCGTGTGTGTGAGTTGAGTTCACCCCGTGTGTGTGAGTTGAGTTCACCCCGTGTGTGTGAGTTGAGTTCACCCCATGTGTGTGAGTTGAGTTCACCCCGTGTGTTTATGTGTTGTTACCCCAAGATCAAATGTGTGTATACAAGCGGTGTGAACGATTGTGAGGGGGGCTATCATGTGGTTAGATAGCTGGTCGAAAGCTTGACGCCTAGGACTGGGAGGTGTGAATTAGGGCACGGGAATAGAGGACTAAAATTAAAAACACACCGTGAATCTGATCCTCTGTGTTTTATGTATATAATTTGACGCCAACATATATTTTAATGCTCAGAAAATTTATAAAAATAAAAATTAAGTGTTAAGAAAATTTGGTTTTACGAAATATGTAAAAAAAAAAAAGCTGTCTCTTCCATCGATCTAATTCTAAGTGTGGGGTTTCTGTCTTGACGTCCTTTCGATCTCTGATTAGTAATTTTCTTTAGAACAGACCGAGCTCATTTAGGTCAAGGTCATTTGTCATTTTAAAGGTTAAAACTTATCCAAGAACTAGATACACGCCAATGGCTAATTTGGTCAAGGCTGAGTACTTTTTACACGGAAACTGATGACGTGTGACACGAGATTTTACGCGAATCTCGTGAGTTATTACATCCAACTATATTTAAAAAGGAAGTTTTTTTTTTCTGATTTTGAATTCGATTAGTTAAAAAAACTCACGTTAAACTCAACAGCTCAAATAGGTAAATGCTGGTGGTCTCCGATTATTGAAACAGCACGATATTGAAGTGTTTTCATGCGTGTATTCGATTATTGACAATGTAATATTGTTGGTATTCGATCATTGACAAAGTAATTGACTGAGCAGGTAATAATATAGAACTCGATTACATGGTCTAGTCTAAGAACAAGTTACGTATTTTTTTTTCCGCCTTAGACATGTAATTTACAGCGTCAGTTTGCCTTGCATGTTCGCTTTAGTATTACAGTTTTCATCATCGGCTAGTAAGGACTGATACAGATTTACAATACTAATATTTCTTTCTCACTTGTAGCCTACTTTCATTCATTTAAGATGGTTTTCTTATACATAAATCTAATACAAAGCGTCTAAATATAGCAAAATAAATTAAAAAACTAACAACCTGAAAATGCAAATGTGTAATGAGGTGGCGATTCAAGGGACTTTTTTTTCCATCGGCGTGGTGGGCTGGGGGTTGGGGGGGAGGTTGGATTTTTAAGTAGAGATGAGTTAATTCAGATAGTTAGTTAACGTTTACCATCAGGTTATCAAAAAAAAGGGTAAATTAAACAATTAAACCTTGTTTTCTAATTCATTCTGAAACTATTTTTACATCTTACATATAATGCATTATTTTAAAAATCTTACATGAAACAAGATTTGTTTGATTGAAAATTACTTTAAAAACTTTAAATTGTTTTGTTTTAAATCAATATAAATATTATTACATAATGGCTTGTGAGTTATTGTTACGTCCTTGTATTATTTATATTTATATTGGAGTGATGTCCCTTGAGTAGTGTGTAAACTCGGTGTAGTTTAGTACTGTGGACGAGACCTAATCCGAGGTGGTAATAGACAGTTCTCCAGAGGCGTAGCGATGGGGGGGGGGGCAGGGGGGTACATATGTCCCCGGGCGCCGACTTAGGGAGCGCCAAAATGGGTTGTAAAAACAAATGAAAATGTCATTTTAGCTGCACTTTTGCAGTTTGAGGGGGGTGCAAACCGAAAGTTTGAGGGGGGGGGGGGGTGCAAATCAAGTTTGAGGGGGGTTCAAATTCAAAATTTGCTCCCGAGGGGGGCGCCAAATTGAAAGTTTGTCCCCGGGCGCCGGGAAGGGTCGCTACGCCTCTGCTCAGTTCTCTACACGTCTGATTCGGGGTCTGGGTAAACCAGATAGGCGTCTACTCTTGTGTTTTGAGTACAACCAGTTTAGTAATGTAACGCATGTTCTACAAGGTTCCCCCCCCCCCTATTTTTTAAATAAATTTAGTGTTTAGACTTGAATCGTGGTCTGGAAACCTGTCGATATAGATTGTGCTAGTAAACAGGACTTAACTGTGAAAGGGACATTACCCAGCCAACTCGAGCGTGTTCAAGTCGAAGGCCAAAAAATGGTAGCATCTTTTTAAATGTTATGTTTTTGGTGAATACTTTGTTGGTGATTAATTTTGATAATATTGAAATTTCATTCGCTGCATTTATTTTTTTAAAAAACATAATTTTTTCTTATTCTGACGTGTTTAAAAAATTAAAAAATAAAGCTACCACTTGGGGTCCGTCGGTCAAAAGAGCAGTTGCAGTAGAGTCCACATGTTTACGTGACACAGGCAAATGAAGAGATAGTGTGGTCATTTTTATGCTTTTACTTTCCCTGACTTGAGTCAGATACCTAGAGTAGGGTGGACTCAAGCATGTCTTAAGTAGTCGAGCCACGGATCCGAACTCGAGACTTCTGGTTTATCAGCCGCACACTCTACTTTTCAACCACGTCTTCTCAGATGTTTTATATTGGAACATTTAGGAACATATAGGAACATATAGGAACATATAGGAACATATACGAACATATAGTAACATACACAAAAAGAACCCGTCCATAAATATTGGTATCACAATGTAACTTCAAGAATACCTCAACTTTTCCCTGTAACTATTGTTTTTATTTTAATTTTATTCTATATCATTAGTTAATAGACACACTATTTGTATGTGCTGGTGTTAGGTTAAATTTCTTCACAAAGTCATTATTTTCTTTCTTTTTTTTTCCCTACAAGCCTTATGTTATTTTTTATTTTTCACAATCTACTACCCATTTCCCGCTTGTGGCATATATGCGATCCGGTATTCTATGAAGCCTTTCTGTAGTCGTATAGTGTTACTTTTAATAAATTCGTTTACTACCAATTTGTCTCCCTAATTGTTAAACTCTGCAAGTGTAATTGAGTTGTTGGTCCTTTTGTGCACTAGTGTCTGCAGTTACCTGCAGTTGTCTGCCCTGTTATCAATGTCTGCAGTAAACGTTGAGCTTCTATATGCATATTATGTAAATGATTATACATACAGTTCTAGATTAAGAACTTGTTTAGTTGCAGATTTGTATCCGGCCAACATAAAAATAAAAAAAACTGTTTGAAATAAAGGGAAAAAACTCAGTAAAAATCATCAATATAATTATCTCCCTTCCCAGGTGCGTTGTCTCTCCCACGTTATAAAAAATAAAGATTCTATTTTTTAAAAACCTTAATTACTTTTCCGGAGTATTTTTCGGACGTCGAGCATTGTTTTTCTTTCATTCTATTTCAAATTTAGAAAAAATATTAATTTATTTCAACCAGTCTATTTTTAAAATTGGGGCATGTCGCTTCGACCTACTGGGAGACAACTCGTATTTTTAAATCACAACCAATTTATTTTTTTAATTTCCATATACATGCATTTTGAAACACAATTTTTTTTTAATTATAAAAAAGAGCTATACATTTTACACAATATTCTTATTAAAGTGAGTTTGGAAAATAATTTGTCATATTTTAAAGACTAATAACACCAGGAATCGACACTATAGAATTAGGCAAATGTAAACATTACTTTTTGTAAGGGGAAACATTTTGAATGTTATTAGTAATTATTGTTAGTAACGTTAGCTGTGATTTTTAAAGCCATCCTTTCGTTCGGTCACAAAAAAATATTTACTACTTTCTTAAACTGAGCATCGTGTAGGCCTAGGATGATACTACTTTTTAAAACTGAGCATCGTGTAGGCCTACTCGTTAAAATAAAACTATTTCCGTTGATATAGGTTAATATAGTTGTCTTTTTTTAAGCGGAAAATTAACTTGTTTACTTATTAATTCAAACGTTATTTTTGTACCCTATTAATTTATTTATAATTTATATGAGAGTGATAGGGAGTTACAATTACAAGGTTTTGTTTCGCTAGGCCTAATCATTTTTTCACATTTTTTAAAAACAAACTTGATCACTATCTATTTTTAGATAACATAAGGAAATTGTACTTAAATTGTCACTTGACTTTTTATTAACTTGTTTCATCTATTTACAAAAATGAGTTTTTAGCTCTGATTAAAATCTAATTGGTAAGCTTCATTTGTTTACAATTATTATTGTATTTTCCAAATCCTTTAGTTGCGATCATCATCTTGACATATATTCTTGTATTTTTCAGATCCTTTATTTGTGATCATAATCTTGTTTTGATATTGATTCTTGTATGTTTCAGATCATTTATTTGTGAGGATGATCTTGTTTAACAATTATTATAATATTTTCCAGATCCTTTAGTTGTGATCATGATCTTGTTTGATATTTATTCTTGTATGTTTCAGATCATTTATTTATGAGGACGATCTTGTTTAACAATTATTATAGTATTTTCCAGATCCTTTAGTTGTGATCATGATCTTGTTTAACAATTATTATTGTATTTTCCATATCCTTTAGTTGTGATCATGATCTTGTTTAACAATTATTATTGTATTTTCCAGATCCTTTAGTTGTGATCATGATCTTGTTTAACAATTATTATTGTATTTTCCAGATCCTTTAGTTGTGATCATGATCTTGTTTAACAATTATTATTGTATTATTGTATTTCCCAGATCCTTTAGTTGTGATCATGATCTTGTTTGACAATTATTATTGTATTTTCCAGATCCTTTAGTTGTGATCATGATCTTGATTGATATGTTATATTGTATTTTCCAGATCCTTTAGTTGTGATCATGATCTTGCTAGCAAGCCTCAACAGCTGCTGCAATCCCTGGATTTATTTAGCTTTTAGGTAAGCCCTTGTTTCACTCTTGTATCGACGTTTTACAGCTTTACTCCAGATTAGCTTCCCTTTAGAATAGAAATGTCGGTCGAGGACTATGAAAGCTACACTTTAATGACAGCAGTAACAGTTTATTTCATTAGCTTTCTAACATCTTCGGATTGTGAGTAATGGTACTAAGTAGCCTACATCGAAAAAAAATAAATGAAATAAAAAACAAACAAAAAATCGAAGTAATAACGTCCCTGTTTTTTATTAAACGAAATTAATTTATAAAAAAATTTAAATTGATTAATATTTATTTATTCATTTCATTTGTGTGTGTGTGTTTGTCTGTCTGTATGTCTGTGTATGTATCCGTGTGTGTATCTATACTTATCATTAAATAACTATATATGTCTACTTATTTATAGATTTACTAATAATTATTTATTGTGTAATATTTGCGTTTACATTAGTTTTTATTGCGAATGTCATTGTTTTAAAATTTGCCAAAGGTCAGTATGACCCGACCTTCGCATTCAACTTTCCTGAAAAGATGAGCTACGATCTGAATATAAATTCATGCCTTAGCTCAGCCAATTGATTTCAGATTAAAAAGAATAATCCCGATCTACAGGTATTGCCAATAAAGCTTAAGAAATTAAGCACAAAATTGAAATCAGGATACGGTTAAGAGAACGGATCGATATCTGGAGATTATCGGTAATCGGATTAATATCTGTTATCTGAGCTACCCAGGCTGTAGGGCTGCATTAGAGATCGATTTTTTTACATCAGCGTCAAGTTTCTGTGCTTGGTTTGAACTCGGGGAGGGGATGTTAATGCTGGGGGCAGGGCATTAGAGCTGGTGATTGGGCATTAGTACGAGGCAGATGGCATTAGTACCCAGAGGAGGGCATTAGTACCCGGAAGATGACATGTGTACCCAGAAGAAGGCCTTAGTACCGCGAAGAGAGCATTAGTACGAGGCAGAGGGCATTAGTAACGGGGGCATTAGTACAGGGAAGAGGGCATTAGTACAGGGAAGAGGGCATTAGTACAGGAAATAGGGCATTCCTACAGGGGGCATTAGTACAGGGAAGATGACATTCGTACAGGGAAGAGGGCATTGAAACAAGGAAGATCGCATTAGTATAGGGAAGAGGGCATTAGTACCGGGGGCATTAGTACAGGGAAGAGGGCATTAGTAACGGGAGCATTAGTACCGGGACAGGGCATTAGTACGGGGAAGAGGTCATTGGTGGCAGGGGGCAGTGCATTAGTGCTGTGATCAGAGAATTAGTGCTAAGAAGATTTGCAGCTTAAGTTTGTTGCCACCTGAAGAGCTTTAGAGCCATCGTGTTTGTTGGTCAACATGGTAAGAGGGGGGGGGGGTATTATTTCCATTTCAAAAAATTGTATTAACTTTTTTTTTGTGTGGATATTATTATTATTCGGTTTATTTTTAATTTTTTACTTCCTTTGATATTTTTTTTTTCTTTATCGCAGTATTGTGTGTATGTACTTATCTTAAATTCCAGACTATAGATTTCCTTATTTGCACTGTATTTACTGGGACTGGGTGGTCAAATGGTGGAGAATTTGGCTGCTAGGCTGAAGGTCTCCACCCATCTCTGATGGGGACCTGACTTAAGTTTGGGAAAGTAAATCGGCTGAGTATAATGCTGACCACACCATCCCTTCATATGCCGAAGTCAAGAACCAGATTAACTCCACATCGCTAGGTCTAAATAACAAAAATAACAAATTTTATCAAATTGAAATGTAAAGACGTGGCCTAGTGGAGAGTATGGAGTATGACATCTATCTAATCTGTTGCCGGTTTGGGGCCCATGTTGTCATTGTACATATTTTAAGAAAATAAATTATTCCTTCCTAACCCCCCTCTCCACCACCTCACCCTCACCCTAGCAGTGTTTCTTCCAGACTTTTTTCTCCGGGGGAGCACTTGAAATTTTCGGGGGGGGGGGGCGGTAGACTTTCTTCGGGGGGGGGGGGGGGGCGGACACTGTTAAAAGTATATATTTTCTATATAAATTATATAAATTTCATTTCGTTCGGGGGGGGGGCGGTAAAAAATCTTCGGGGGGGGGGGGCTTTGCCCCCCCCCCCCCCGAAGAGATGCCTGAAGAAACTCTGCACCCTAGCCTTATTGCCTTATCCCTGGTGGTAAATCCCACGCCACTTACCATCATCCCCCCCCCCCTAACATCGGGTTCAATACCACCTCTCACAAGATCTTTCTTTAAAAATGTTAACTACATGAAACTTATAAAATGCGTGTCTTAACTTTAAAAAAAACAAAACAATTCAACCCCGCCAACCTAAAAACTAGACGAAGGTCTGTAACCCAACATCACCCAGTCCACTGAAACAATGCCAGACTTTTCCAGACAGGAAGGCCGGAACTTCCTGTTGCCAAAGACAGACTAACCTCCCTTTGTGCTGGTTATACCGCGTCAAGAGGCTTCGTAAAATAACAAAGGCAAAAAAGCACATTAATTCAGAGTTATTTGCCTTGAAAAGAATTTTTAGAGTTCTCTCCCCTTCCCTTTATGACTTCACACTCACCATCGTCCAAGCAACAACTACATAAAATTTAAATCGCGAAAAAAATCCAATGACATTTTCGACATGTCATAAGCAAGGAAAATGTATGATTAAAATGTATTTAAACACAAGTTCTATCAGAGGCGTCGCATACCATTCCAGCGACCGGGGCGAACCATTAACTTTACGCCCCACCAGTGGCGTAGGCAAGGGAGGGGGGGTAGGGGGGTTATAACCCCTCCCATGAACCCCTATATATATATATATATATATATATATATATATATATATATATATATATATATGTATATATATATATATATATATATATATATATATATATATATATATATATATATATATATATAGTCATATGCATATATATATATATATATATATATATATAGGATTATATACGTATGGAAACATTTTTGAAACCCTCCATGACAAATTCCTGGCTATGCCACTGCGCCCCACCTCTCATTTCCAAGTAAGAAAGGTTGGGGGTGTTTTTTACCAGTCACTGCTTAATGGTTTTTATGTTGGTGTCACACAATTGATATAAAAAAACAGTTAAATAAATCCTTAAAGCCGAGTAAATGTCTATTTCCTCAACCTCAACTGTGTATAAATTCGTAATGCAGCTCAAAATGAGCTTTTTAATTTTTTTTTTCTACCCCGTTCGGCGCCCCATTCCCCTCTAAGGTCGCCGCCCGGGGCGGCCCCACCCGCCCTCCTCTAGCTACGCCTCTGTGTCCTATTTACCTGGATCGAACAATGCCCCGGACTGCAAGGGAGTTAATCATTTTTTTTCACGATTGTCTGAACTTATGTAACGACAACTCTTTCATTGGGGATTAAATTTCTCTAAAAACACATGCAGTAATCGGGTTAAAGGACGGAAACTTGTAAGCAGAATTTTTTTGTTACCCATGTATCCAGTGGCGTAGGCAGGGGTGGGGGGGGCAGGGGGGGGGGGTTACAAAACAGATTGTGTTGCGTTAATTGTTTTGGTTGTATTGTGTGTAGATCTATATATATATTTTTTGTACTACTTTCAATTTATTTTACATCAATTTTTTTCAGCATTATATATATATATATATATATATATATATATATATATATATATATATATATATATATATATATATATATATATATATATATATATATATATATATATATATATATACATATATATATATATATATTGCTGGAAAAAAATTTGGACCCCCCCATGAGACGATCCTGGCTACTCCACTGCATGTATCGTTACTTTTATGTAAGGTTAGCCCCCTCCCCCCCCCCCCCCCCCATTCACCATACACACACATACGCTTGGTGTGATCAGTCTGTCTGAGCTTTAAAGTAAGATGTATCGGGCTCTAATCCATGTGGGACGTATAGCTCCATGTCAAGTGAAGGGGAGGCTAAACAATTTTTGTTTGGAAACAAAGGGGGTGATGTGCTATATTTCTCGCCGTTCACGTAACCATTGTTATGTAAACTAACATCTTCATGAACTATAATTATTGTTATGTAATCTAACATTGCATTAAACACGTAATGATTGTTATTTAAACTGATATAAAAATGATCACACTAACAACTTAGTGAACGTTTAATAATTGTTATGTAAACTAACACATTTACGATCATATAAGCATTGTTATGTCAAACAACATCACATTAAACATATGATTGTTATTTAAACTGGTATAACAATGATCTCATAATTATTATTACCTAAACTAACATTACATTAAAAACATAATGATTGTTATTTAAACTGATAGATGATCTCAAAGTATTATTATGTCAACTAACATCTCATTGAATACGTAATGATTGTTGTTATATAAAGTAACTTCTGAATAATCACATAATGATTTGTGTATGGCCCACATCTCAATGACCATTTCTAGCCACATTATCGTTTCTTACGCCAAGGTCAACGACTCTGCTACACTCTACCGCCCCAGTACTATTGTTCCCAAGTTCTACAAGGGCACTTTTACAATGAATAACAATTATTATGAAAAAAAAATCTACAACATCTCAAAGTTCAACACGCAATTTTTTTTTCTCTGACAGCGGCAATCTCATCCGGCACTCGTGTCCCCTCAGCCTGAACAGGAACCGGAAATGCTGCTGCTGCTGCGACTTTTGTCACTTCCGGCGACGTCACTGCTACAGGCGCCGCAGTAGCAGCAACAACAACCACGACGACACCCACAGCCCGCTGTCGCCATCGGACGAGAGGATGTTGAACAACAGGGAGAGGTGTGGAGCTGACCTGGAGCTAAGGGAGCTGATAGCTGACAGTGAGTTGAGCTTTAGTGGGGACGGGTAGTGAGCTGAGCTTAAGTGCGTGGGGGGAGCAGTAAGTTGTGCTTAAGGTGGATGGGGGAGTGAGTTGAGCTTAAGGTTGGGGGGTAGTGAGTTGAGCTTAATATTGGAGGAGTGATCTGAGTTTAAGATGAGTTGAGCTTAATGAGGGGAGGAGCAGTGAGTTGAGCTTAAGGTGGGGGGTGGCGGTGAGTTGAGCTTAAGGTGGATGGGGGAGTGAGTTGAGCTTAAGGTTGGGGGGTAGTGAGTTGAGCTTAATATTGGAGGAGTGATCTGAGTTTAATATGAGTTGAGCTTAATGAGGGGAGGAGCAGTGAGTTGAGCTTAAGTTGAGGGAGGCAGTGAGTTGAACTTAAGGACGGGGAGGTAGTGAGTTGAGCTTAAGGAGGGGAGGGGCAGTGAGTTGAGCTTAAGGTGGGGGTAGTGAGTTGAGTTTAAGATGGGGGGGGCAGTGAGTTGAGCTTAAGATTGGAGGAGTGATCTGAGTTTAAGATGGGGAGTAGTGAGTTGAGCTTAATGAGGGGAGGAGCAGTGAGTTGAGCTTAAGTGGAGGGAGGCAGTGAGTTGAACTTAAGGACGGGGAGATAGTGAGTTGAGCTTAAGGAGGGGAGGGGCAGTGAGTTGAGCTTAAGGTGGGGGAGGCCGTGAATTGAGCTTAAGGTGGGGGTAGTGAGTTGAGTTTAAGGTGGGGGGCAGTGAGTTGAGCTTAAGGAGGAGGGAGGTAGTGAGTTGAACTTAAGGTGGGTGGAGGCAGTAAGTTGAGGTTAAGTGGAGGGTAGTGGGTTGAGCTTAATAGATGCGGTAGTGAGGTGAGCTCAATGACTGAGGTTTGCCATCAGGGATGTTGTAATGAGCTGAGTACACCAAGAGTTACGGGACATGTATTTACACGTGAAGTTACCAAATATGTTGAATAGCCTAGTTCTGGAGCACGGGTTTCTCAACCATGAATTACCGGACATGTTTTTCACCATGAGTTACCTGACATGAAACAAAAAAAAAAGAAAGACATTTTTCTTTACAGCTGATGGGGGGTCAAGATTTCACATAGGGCGCTAACTCTGGGAAGATAATAAGATTCGAGTTACCCCGCCATCAGAGTGGGTGGGAATATCACGTTCTGATCCAATCCGATTGGTCAGCTCAGTGGGGCATGATAGAGTTAGCGTCCATGACCTAATTTGCAAGTAAATGTGACAGGCTTGCAAAGTATTGTCTGTCGTGGATATTTCTTTTAAAGAAACGGATAAAAATCATTCTATTTTTTTTCTTGAAAATCATTCTATTTTTTTCTTAATACATAAATATTCATCTAAACTCAGTTATTGAATTTTTTTTTAAATCCATCTGTAAAAAAATAACTAAAATAATATATTCTGTATTTGAAATATTTTGAAAGAACATCTAAATATGTTAAACAAATAATGCTATCAAACTCCTCAAATAAAAAGAAAACAACCATATGCAAACATCCTCCAACATAAATTCAGTAAAGAACGCAGAAAAAGAAGAAAATATAAATAAAGAGAAAACATTTGTCTTAACATTTTAAAAAATATCCGAAATAGTTCGCCTGCATCTTGTTATAATGTTTCACAAATTAACTGCATGTATATTGATTAACTGTAATACTAAAGCTAACTCGCATGGCAAGGCAAACTGACGCTGTAGATTTCATGACTGAGAAAAAAAATTATATTTCAAGACGAGGAAGATCCCAACTAGATCTAGTTACATTGCTGATTACAATATTTCCCTTATTGGTTCTATTACTGTATTATTTTGTTTTGTTGTTGTTTTAAAAATATTACAAATTTGTTGATAGTCATTGTACTGATTTTTTCCCCGCAGGTATTAACCGGAAACGGCAGGGCTACAACCACTCCCTGCCTGACACGGCCGGATATGACGCGCCATCCAAGACCCGCAGCACCAAAACTGGGACGCCTGTAACTAGCACGCAGCTCTGGAGGAAGGACCACTGCCTGTTTAAAAAGGCCGTCATCCAAAATGGCAGGAACGCGCGGGATCTCGAGTGGACCCACCCACTTCCGGAAAACGTCGTTTAGCGCGAGAAATGGCGCACTTTGTCGGCTGCTTCATGACTATCAATGACGTTATTTCTGTTTGTGGTGAATTTTTGGTACTTAAAGTAAAAAAAAGCCCAGAAGATCAGCGGCGTCCCTTACGTGGGGGTTAAGTGATTGAGCTGTTACGAGCTGTACATTTTTCTTCAATATCAATGCTACCCCTCGATAGACTCGTCCTTGTTTGAGAAAGTTACAAAGTGTGTAGTATTTCTTCTACCAGTGCCCGCTAGTAGACAAAAATTGGAGTGTTAGGTTATTAGTAGAATTTTAGTATCGGGTTCAGTGTTAGGGCTATGGTAGGATTTATGATATTTCAGGGTTTTGTCGGCTTTTTATCCGTATCGGCCTTTTCCCTATCGGCATATTTTCAATTTTCAATCAGAAAATTATTTTTTCCTTGTTTATTTGAGGTTGTGGATAGTGTATACATTGACATTAGCAAATATATTAGTTTATAGCGTACTACAAGTAATCTAACACTTCCTTGACTCCTGAGTGATCGGCCAATGGTAGGAAATATAAACCAACATTTAAACAGGGGCGGCAATTGAGGAATTCATCTCCTGTGTGAACGAGTGCCCCACGCCCCTGACTATCGCTAAAGGCAGATAATGGCTGAACAACTTTTACGATAAACTAATACAGAAGGCAGATAATGGCTGAACAACTTTTACGATAAACTAATACAGAAGGCAGATAATGGCTGAACAACTTTTACGATAAACTAATACAGAAGGCAGATAATGGCTGAACAACTTTTACAATAAACTGATACAGGAGGCAGATAATGGCTGAACAACTGTTAAGATAAACTGATACAGAAGGCAGATAATGGCTGAACAACTTTTACGATAAACTAATACAGAAGGCAGATAATGGCTGAACAACTTTTACAATAAACTGATACAGGAGGCAGATAATGGCTGAACAACTGTTAAGATAAACTGATACAGAAGGCAGATAATGGCTGAACAACTGTTACAATAAACTGATACAGACCCGTGTTTTATATGTGTTTATCGGGGCCATAGCCTTAACTGACAGTTTTAATTATATGGGTAGTACAATATTTGGTTCACATAATAGAGTTACAGAAACGGGCAATTTTTTTTAGCCGTACCACGTGATGAGGTTAAGTACGCAGTTAGGTATGAGTTTAGTAATAAGTTTAATATGTGACTAACTCTACTTCATCTGCCCAATGGATCGGTAAATCTAGAAGAGGAATCTTTACTTTCAACGGTGTAAGCATATGTTTAGGCTTAAGGTTCGGGATAAGCTTTTTTTTTGGGGTTAGGTTTAGTGTTAAGCTCAGTAGATTGTCAGGTTAAGCTATATAACACTAAAGTGTGTTACTCCTAATCCGACCGCAGTATATTTTTGTTTTTTATTTTGTTTTGTATATTTTTTTACACAAATATCCATATAATGAAAATTTTTGTTCCATAAAAAACAAGTGAAATAAAAATAAGCCTAATAAGTGTTATAATATTATTCCGATCCAAAAACATATCATCCAAATAATTAAATTTATTTATGACTAAATACCAGTTTAGTGTTTTCCCTGATAAGAACATATTCAACCCATATATTTCTAATGTATTATTTACATAAATTAATTATTTCCCCCGCTTTAGTGGTTGATTAACGCACATATTCCATACGCAATTGTTATGTGGGACTTTCTGAGGTGGCACCGTGGTACCGCGTACACGGTCTGCAAGCTTAGACCAAACACCATCTGTGGCGAGTTCAAGTCAGCCGAAGATCTTGGGACAACTGTTTCTTTCAGGCATCTCTTTGGGGGACCACACCCCCCCCCCCCCCCCCACACACACACAGGACGAAAAATAATTTAGATAGAAAATATATACATTTACCAGTCTCCGACTAACCCCCCCCCCCCCTACTCACCCGGAGAAAAAAAGTCTGAAAGAAACACTGCTCATGACAAGAATAAGCACGCATATTTTATAACTTTATAAATAAAAAGCCCAAGTAAATACGCAAATAAATAAACCGGGAGTGATCTCCCCAAAACTTTCTCGAATATTCTTATATAAAATAACAGGGAATGGGAACTCGGGCTATAGACATGATTTTTAATCCATTTTAAATACTTAAAGTTTTAAAAATAGAATAAAATTTGGTAGACAAATTAATTGCACACTAAGTGAACGCCAAATAAAAAAGTGTATAATAGTGCGCAATATTATTAGCACTTTAAAAATGTACATTAGTATTTTGAGAAATCGGAAGTAGCGTAAATTACTACTTCCGGTCAACGGAAATTACTCAAAATTTAATAGAAGGTAGAAAATTAGATCTTTTACTCACATGTGAAATTTCATTTATCTATCTGAAATAGTACTCAAGTTATAGGCTTTTGAAAAATTCAAAGTAGGAAAAGTACCACTTCCGGTTATCGGAAATCGCTCAAAAGTTGATACGGATCTACGATTTTGATAAAATACTTATATATGAAATTTCATCAATCTAGCTGTAACGGTACTCAAGTTATCGTGTTTACACACGGACACACACAGACAGACACACAGACATACGGACAGGATTGCGAAGCCCGGTTTTTCAGAATGGATTACGCATAAAACCTCTTAATTTTGATAAATCTGGATTGATAATTTTTGCCCGATTAAAATAAGTCCTCTATACTTCGGATGTGATGAAGGACTGAGGTGTAATACGGTGAAAATTGTTAAAATTTCAAGAGATTTTTTTGCACGATTACAATACTTTCTCTATACTTCGTATATACGAGAAAGTAAAAAAAAAGAGTGTAAGGATAATAAAATACAATTTTGCTTTGTGGTGCATTACAATTTTTTTTTAAAGTTTACGCATTGTAGATAAAACTGATATCGGTGTACATATAAATGTTCAAACGTTGTATATTGAAAGCAATTAAACTTTTAACATTGCTTTAAACTAGTTTCTGCTTCAATGTTTGTTTGTGTAAGATCAGTGTGGTAAGTATTCACGACTATTATCTTTCTTCTTCTTCGTTCTAAATTGTGATGTTGGGCGTGAGATTTTCTCCAACACAGAACCCCATACCCCCTAATGTACCATCAGGGCTGAAAAGGTATTTTGAACTTGATTTATCATGAGAAAGCTTGAAAGAACTTTATTCATCATAGGAAGGGAAACTATTCAGTATAAAACATTAGAGAGAAACTTTGTATTATTACCTCCCCTTATATTCAATTTAATGATTTTATTTTTAAATTTATGAAACATTTTTTTATGTTTTAAAGGCACCAAACAAAAACTATTCGTATAGATTACATTTAGTGGAGAGCGTATCTACGATAGACAATGATTGACACAGTTTCTCCAGCTGTTCCTAGTTTCTGTAGTCTCTCTTTAGTTAGCTCCTCCAACAATCACCAGCAAGTGATGCTTAGAGTTATAACGTTATTTAAAATTCCAATTTCCAAAAAACAAAACTGTAACAGCTGTTTGGTGTGTTTTAAATGTTTACTTTAATAATGTAGAGGAAAGGCAACAACAGTAACAATTTGAATATGTACAGCAAATCTTGAGAGAAATTGAGAGAAAGAGAGAGATTGAGAGTGATAAGAGAAAGAAAGAGAGATTGAGAGAAAAAGAGGATGAGAAAAGAGTGAGAGAAAGAGAGAGAGTGGGTGAGAGAGGTTAAGAGAGAGAGAGAGAGAGAGAGTGAGAGAGATGGAGACAAAGATAAAAAGGAAGAGGGTTAGTGAAAAAAATTAAAAACAAAATTGAAGGCGTGTTATCCAGCGCTCTAATCCTTCGATCTTCTGTTAGTTGTGAGTACGATACAATCAGTTCTGTCAGACTTACCACCCCTTTCCCTACATTTGGCTGTGGAAAGATGTCAAAAACTGGGAGCTCCTCCTATTTAGTACGAAAAACATTTGACGAAAATTTTGTTTGATTATTTAGGAGATTAGCAATAATCCTTTATGGATTAATTAGTCAGGTGGCGTATCGTTATGTAATGGCTTATCGTGGATTTTATCCCTTTGTGAAGTCGTTATGTGGTAGAGTAATGGTGGACTCCTTATAAAGTACAATGCAGTGAATTTAACATAATATGGATTCATCTTTTAAAGGACTAACAAATGCCAATCTATACATGCTAAAGATGAGCCGCATAAGACCAACCGATAATTCAGTCTTAGAGCATCAAAACTTCAAGTTTCTTCCTGTAGTTGTCTTGTGTAAATAAATCCAAACGTTATTGATGTAATATTGGTCATATGTACATGACACAATGTTGACTTTATCCCAGTGACAAACTCAGCTAGTAGGTGAATGAACGTCTCTGGTAAACTGTAAAACAGATGTAAACATATAGGTATAAGGGATAAGCTAAATAATATGTAAGCAGGTGGGCTTTAGCACTGGTACATGAATGTGGGGGAGGGGGTTGACAGAAGAAGATGTATATCTGAGTGTCATCTATTTTGATACATGCAGGTCTAAAGGTCTATAGGTCTGAGGGTCTATACAACCCGAACATCGTAAAATTGGCTTCTCAAGTTACCAAGTCTATAGTTTCTGATGTTATATAAAGCGGTTAACATTTGGGATAAGTGGATCTAGGGGGCGTGTAGGTTGAACAATGGCACGACGTGTGTGAAAATATTGGTATAGGTTAAATAATCACACAACTTAAAATTATTTTTACAGGTTAAACCATCACGTGACGTTACAGTGTGAATCCAACAAACACAAACCTTTGTGGGACAGGTCAGCCATCGTGTGAGACAGGCAGGTGTAGGACAGGTACTTGGAGATCTGTGGTGGATGAGAAATGAATAACGTCTGGAATTTATTGATGCCAAACACGTTTTGTTAACTTCAAACACTGTAGCTCAGTTGGAATTTTATTAAAAAAATGTAACAAAAAAATATTACATATAGTAGTTCCTAATTTAAATTTATGCTGTAAACTGTGCTTATTAAATCACTCTGATCGCCAAAGTAAAAAAAAAACCATCTCAAACAATTTAAACAATAAATAACAAACCGAAATATAGTGATGCATCTTTTTCTTGGCCCATCTGTATTGTTCACAATGCTAAGGGGATAAAAGGAAACATTTTTACAAGATCAATAGCAGCTTTTGATAAACGTAGTGACTTAACAGAAATTTTTTATGGATGATAATTAAAAAATTCACATTTAAGTAATTGTTTTTTAAAATGCGAAAACACAGAAACTTAAAACAAGAATGAAGTGAATTCTAACCCGCGATCCTGTATCCAACATCGAAGCTCTTTTAATTGGAGGAAAACTGTAACTTTCTGTCTCCCTTGTTCTAACTAGAGGCGGAGTTATCGTTACTGGTGTTGGGATGTGGATATTGGGAAAATCTTCCGTAAAGGTGTAGACTCTAGAAGAACGTAACAATTGAGAAATGTAAAAGTTACTTTATACACACACTTATATATATATATATATATATATATATATATATATATATATATATATATATATATATATATATATATATATATATATATATATATATATATATATATATATATATATATATATATTACGCATAATAATACAAGAATCATGAAAGCAATAGATGGGGTGTTATTCATTACTTATTCCATCTGCGTCATTTATCATCTAACAATTACATGACTAGATACAGTCTTGCATAGATGGTACCAATGTTCCAGCCGGCGACTTACAGATTTCTGTGGACACCTGCTTCCATCAAGGGCAGCCTGGGCAGTGTGTCCGCGTCCTCGGCCTCCCAATCCAGCTGGTGATTGACCACTAGGACGTCATGCGTGCCCAGGTGAGGTGGCCAGGCTCTGGTCTCGTCTGGAAGCTTCCTGTAAAGGTCAGGGGTCACGTGGTTCAGGTAAAAAAAACAAGGAACTTTTTAATACGATTTATAGATTCTAAGGCAGTGGTTCCCAACCTTTTTCGAGTGGCGACCCCCTTTTATAAAAAGTAAGTGACCCGCGACCCCCATAAAATTAAAAGCCGAAATTAGTATGGACATTAATAAGGACTAAAAAAATATTTTCTGGAAGACATTCAATATGAACTACTCTTGATAACTGTTTCAATACGATGAGTAAAATTGCATGCTATTTACTAAACATTCGCGGTTAAGTTATTGTTAACGCCAACCTATCAACATTAAATGTATTTCTTAATTTTGTTTTTAATCGGAGAATAGTGTTGAAAATCTATTCTCGAAAATACGTTTGGGTATGAATGGTGAATACTACACCAAAATTGTGTGTGCAGTTTTTCATCTTACGCGGAATCATTCTGCAAATCAAATAATTCATCTTGTAATTCGCTTCTTTCAAAATTTTAATTATCTCACAATCAGATTCATCTACCACACTGCAGAGTTTCTCAAATTTACAATATTTCCAAGATTTATTTTCTTCAGCTTTGAAAAAAATGCGAGATTATCATGGAAAGTTCATTTTCCCTGAAGCTTCAGGTTAAGCTTATGTTGATGTTCGAATGTATCTCTCCAACCACTCTTTGTCGTTTTAAGTATACCAAAAGGTCTTGTTTCCTTTACACTTCCAAGATCAATTTGATTTCAAATTTCAATTCAAAAACACGATTCACAACAATTCGTTTGACAGCCAGCGTACTGTAATGTAGAAAAGCAGAACCTCGTAATCTATATTAATGTCTTTGCTCAGTTTTTTTTAAGGTTCCAGATTTAATATAATGTACGACTTTTACTAGCAATGGAGTCTTGATGGAGAGGGCATACTGGTTAATCATGCAGTGGTCAGGGAGCTATATCTTTTCTATTTTATGAAAGCCCGATTTTGACCTAAACATAGATAGTGCACCATCCGTACAAACCCCCACAGCCGTTTTAACCCATTTTAGTCATCAAATTTAAAAAAAAAATGTATTTATTTTCTCCACGCTATCTTCACAAAATAGCAACTCTTCTTTGCTATCATCTGAATGAATATAGACTAAGACCAGCCACTGCGAACACGAACTCACGTCTGTTGATTTATCAAATTGAAAAGCAAGCAATGGTGAACGCTTGATTTCATTAAAAATTTATTATTTAACATCTACGGACATGTCTGCTATAAGCTGCTGAATAGTATTATTAGGCAGAAATATTTGTTGCATTTTTATTGCACTGGAATCTCCAAGAATTAACTTCACCATCTTCAACATGCAGCTTGGATGAGATTTTCTCCTATTGTGTTTTTTTTTTTTTTTGCTTGACATTTTCTGTCGCGACTTCATTTCATGCTTGCACTAATGCTGTGTTTCCTTGGTGAAAACTTCCCTGTTCGATCAAGTCTCTGACGTTTGCAACTAGCTTCATACCGACGAAAGAACTACATATCTTTTTTGGTGTGTTCAGAATGACTTGTCTCAAATGACGTTTTAGTTTTTACAAGCTTTTATTTAACTCACTTCCTCTGTCTGTCGTCAGTCTAGACGGAAACGCAGGAGTGAAAATTCGGACAGTTCTACTTGACCGACACGATTCACAGTTGGCACGTGGGTCAAGACATGAAGACAATGCAATCTGAAACTAAATTTGACTTAATTGGATGCCTAATTGATTTTTTATGAATTAATTAAAATTTGGACCGAATTAGTAGGCATGTCTAGCCAACCACACCACACGCGTCATCAATAGCTGCGCCATCACGACCACGTAATGGCTGCGTTCAAAAACCATTGCGCGCCTACTGAACGTGATATTCAGTAGGTGCGCAATGGTTTTTAGTCATGTAACTCTATTGTAGATAAAACATGTAAAGTACTGAAAAAAAAATTCATAAAAAAACGTTTTAATAACCAGCTTTTATGTAATGATGCACTAAAAAGTAGAAAATAAATTATAGACTACTATTTAAATAACTATAAAGAAAAGCGTGGGTGTCTTCCTTAACATTAGTAAAGGTATCCAATAGATACTAAAGTGACCCACGCTTTTCTTTATAGTTATTTAAATAGTAGTCTATAATTTATTTTCTACTTTTTAGTGCATCATTACATAAAAGCTGGTTATTAAAACGTTTTTTATGAATTTTTTTTAAGATTTCATAAACGCGTGACTGAGAACAACTTTATACAGTACTCATTGCTTCTTCTCTATTCCATTTCCAGTTATGTTAGTAAAGCCGAATTTTAGATATTCTTCTAAATATTTGTTTTGTTTCTCATTAATAAGGTTTAATATACCAGTTGGCGACCCCCCAGAAAGCTCTTCGCGACCCCCAGGGGGGTCGCGACCCCCAGGTTGGGAACCCGTGTTCTAAGGTGTCTTAAAACTTTGCGTAAAATTTAACTGTTTAAACAAGCCGTGTTAAAAAAAATCTCAACGTTTCATTCAAACCTTCAAGTGACACGTAATGTAGACAGCAACACAAAATAAATTTAACCGACTTTAGCAAAGTTAATAAATTGAATAGTGTAGCTTAAAATAAAAACACTAAAAAGACAACCAAAAGATGAGTTGACTAAACAGCCTACAGGAAAACAAAATCATTCAGTTCGCACTTAACTTTGCTGCATGATTTGGTTAGTTTAAAAAAGTTAATTGACATTTTTAGTTACCAGCTTGTAGATAACTATAAAATATTCATCAAGTTTTACTAAACTCTACAAAAAGTCAAATTAACTATTGCCAAAAGCTTAATACTAAAACATAGTGTGGCTAACACTACCATTCTTCTTCTTTTTCGTTCTTATTTGTTATGTTGGAAAGGATTTCCTCCAACACAATCAATTATTAGGTGTCAACTTGTTATGCGCCATATATGCTGTAGACTCGGATGTACAATTACCATAATTCAGAGGCGTAGCGAGGCGCCGACCTTAGGGGGGGGGGGGCGCCAAAATGGGTTGGAAAAACAAATTCAAAGTTTGAGGGGGGGGGGGGCAAATCAAAAGTTCGATGGGGGGTCCAAATCGAAAGTTTGAGAGGGGGGGGGGGTGCAAATATCAAAAGTTCGAGGGGGTGGGGGTGCAAATCGAAAGTTTGTCCCCGGGCGCCGGGATGGGTCGCTACGCCTCTGTCATAATTGATTACATTCAATTGAAAAAAAATTCTACAAAGACACCACTGTAACATTTAATTACTTGTTTTTTAATATTCAGGGTAGATACCCCTCAAATGATTAATCAAATTCCGTAAATTAAAACAAAGTATTTCAAATAATTCCCTGCTCACCCTTGAGTCTGCCAGCCGTTGTCTGGTACTGTCACGTGATCTCTAGTCTGCCCCTGGGGCTGCAGGATAGTCTATCAATGGTAAGGAACAAAATTGGTATCAGAAGAATCTATATCTATATTTATAATTCTCTTCTGGGAGACGCTAGAAAACAAGTTGTAAGCGCGCTCCATACCACCTCCCCCCCCCCCCCCCATACATAGTCTGGTGAGCTGTGGTTCACTCTAAATGTTAACAAGCAGAGCCGGGTTTAGTGACGACTATTAGGGGCAGATAATTTTGTTTGAAACGATTTTAAACGTAGGGGGGGGGGGGTAACTAAGTGGAGTTTACTTTAACGGAGGGTTGGGAACGAGGGGGGGGGGGGTATCGTCCTTAACGAGCTACTTATAGTGTTTTAAAGAAATATTTTCAGTGGCAGCGTTGGTAGTGTCGAATTCACAAATTATGAATTACTGAAAAGTAGAAAAGACAACAACTAAATAGCGGCGTATGTTATGCCACGGGTCGGCTCGTTACTTTAGTTATTGCTGCGTGTAACCTTCAGTCACTAGTAAATCTTTCTCTCACTACATATATGTTAGTTGTCATATAGTCATATAGTTAAGACATCCGAGTCATGCAACAATAAAACTCACCCAGCCAAAGAACTTTAACCTCCCAGCCATACAGCTATAACTTGCAAACCAAATAGCTCAAACCTAGCCATACAGCTTAAACCTCACAGTCACACAAGTTAAAATGTCTAGACAAAGTAAAAACTTAGCAACTATATAGCTATAACCTCCCAGCCATAAACCCATAACCTTAAATCATGCAGCTATAACCCCAGCCATGCAGCTATAACCCCCAGCCATACGGCCAAAACTTGCAAAGCCATACAGCATAAAATTACAGCCATACTGAAATTACCTCCCAATCATTCGGCCATAACTCCCCAGCCATCCAGATATTACCATACAGCCATAATTTCCCAGACATGCAGCCCTAACCTCCCAGCCATACAGCAATAACTTCCCAGACATGCAAACATTACTCCAAGCAATGCAGCCATAACCCCCTAGCCAAAACTTCCCAGCCATACAGCCATAATTTCCCAGACATACAGCCGTAACCTCCCAGCCATACAGTCATAATCCCCCAGCCATACAGTCATACAGCCATAACCTCCCAGCCATACA